GGGGAGGGGGTAGCCTGGGAACCTGGGAGCGCCGGCGCGGCCGCGTAATCCGTCACTCCCGGGAGATGTCTCATTAACCCATTAACCAGGGAGGTTGGGGACGTGCTGGGAGGAGAGCGAGGGAGAAACCGGGGGTGTGAAAGGCAAGAGTGCGGGCAGGGGAGGAGCAGTGCGGGGCGGGCGGGCAGGCGCTGGGAGCAGCTCCTCCGCACAGCCCGGCCGAGGGACCCCGCTTCCCCGACGACGGCGGGGAAGGAGCCGGTGGGTGGCCCTTGCGGGGGGACACGCGTGGGGGAACCTCGCCGAGCCCACCCGGTGCCGCCCGGCAGGATGAAGCGGCTGTGCGAGGAGAGCTCGTCCGACACGGAGTCGGACGGCACCATCGACGTGGGCCGGGAGGAGGAGTACAGGTGAGGACACGCCACCGGCGGCGGCTCCCTCCCGGGGGGACCGGACCGTCACACGGCGGTGGGACGATGTCGGGATTTTGGGGGTCCCTTCATGCGGGGCAGCTCGGCCTCCTGGAGGGGTTGGAGAGGGCTCCCCCGTAGTGGGCTCCGGGCGAGTCCGGGGGTTGCCGGGGCGAGCACCGGGCTCCGCGGCGGATCCACCGGGCACCTCTTGGGGCTGCGCCGGTGCTGCCCGGGGCGAGGACGGGCGGGGGCTGATGGTGGCGTTAGGACTGACCCGGTGAGGAAACCCGAGTCGTAATACAAGGATTAAAGCCGCGTTACGAGCTCATTGCCCTCAAGAAAATGCCTCGTTAAATTAAAATTGCCTTCTCCTGCCCCGGTGGTGAGAAGGGCAGCTCTGAGCTCAGTTAGCGGGAGCCCGAAATGGGGCATCCCGCCCCCGGCGGAGACACCCGCCAGCGGCGATCCGAGGGTTCCCAGGGAACGGGGAAGAAACAAGGGGGTTTTGCATGAGAAACGCTTCTGCTCTGCTGATGCGTTTGTAATGCACCAGCTGGGGCTTTGATCTTTAATTAGGAAGGAGCCCGCACTGCCCGGCCGGCCGAGGGTGCCCGGCTCTAAGCGGGCACTTCCAGCATCGCAGTTCGCAGGCTCCATCCCATCTCTGCCGAGCTGCTGTTTCGGCTCTGGGGCTTTGCTGCTTGTTGAAACAGTGAGGAAACAGTGAGGACGGGACCTCTGCGTGGTTCCCCAGGCAATGTCCTCAGGCTTCGCTGCGCTCCCCCCAGGCTTTTCGGCTCTGCTGGCAAAGGGCATCCTCAGGCTCTGCTCGCAGCCCAGCTGCTTTGGAACTCTTGTTTCAGTAGCCAAGAGTCCCCCCTTCCTCCCTCGGCGTCCAGCGAGGCCCCAGATGAATTCGTTCCCTTTTGCTGCTTGGTATCCTGAGCAGAGATGTCACCCTTCCCGGTGCCAAGTTCAGGTTCTCATGGGACTAAATTAATGAGTCCGCTTCTCGCTGGTGCAATCACAGCAGAGCCAGGCGTAACGTCCTGCACAAATTCACCAACCCCTTATGCAGTTTCCAAGTGCATCAATATTTAACCTGCCTTCCTGCTGCACGTGAAATACATCCCAGCTCTTTATATCAGTGCAGCACTCCGAGTCTATAGTACCCCGACAGATGAAAGAGAGGAATTGTCATAATATTTTATTTCAGTGAACAGTAACAGTGAATTTTTGGTCTCTTTCTGGTGCTTGTCTTCTCAAGCTGGTGGCAGAACTGGTCAGCGCTGTCATCTGATGGCATTTGTATACATTTATGTGGTTGCTCATGTCACGCAAACACGCAGCCAAAAGAGCTTATACCCTGAGTAACGTGGTCCTCGCGGTTCAGGTGGAATGAAACACCCCCAGGAGGGCAGCGAGGTGGAGCGGTGAAGGCAGAGGGAGGCAGCCATGCCGCCTGGCCGGGGCTCCCAGCCATTACCCACCGGTCGAGTGGTTTGGGCAAACCAGTTCCCCGTAGAGCGGGGATGAGTCACTGCGGTCATGCAGCTCGGTTCCCCGTGCGTAGCAAGTTTAGATGCTGGGGTCACTGCAGAAGTGCAAGATCCTGCTTGGTTTTGGGATGGTAGTTTTGAATAAACAGCCAGAGTTACACTGTAAATTATAAAATCGAGTAAAGAGCAATGCAGAAATTTTAAGCAGCAGAGGATATACTTCTGGTATCTTTATGTGGTTCGAATCCGTCAAACATGTTTTTGAGAATGTATTTTGCAGTAAACTAGGTCTTTGTATCCTCATCTGGAAGGGTGGCTCACAAAGAGCAGCGCGTTCGGACAGCTCTGCAAAGAGGGTTTCAAAATTCACTGTTAGAGACTCCTCGAGTGCATTCCTGCGCTGCCAGGCAGACCCACTCCCTACCCCCTGCACGTAGAACCCCACAGCGTTGGGGGAGAGCCCCTTCCCACACCATACATGCTCATCATGTGTGCTTTACGTGTACTGGCACTGCGTGTTCCTACTTGCGAAGCCAGCTGGCACCTCTGCCCGGAGAAAGCCCACCCAGCAGACGTTCAAATAGGGTACCTGTATGGAGATGAGCCCAGCAGGCGGTAGAAGAACGTGTTATTTCGTCTGATTGTGTAAAACCACTTCTGAAAGCACCTCGCTTGGGCCTGACAAAATGCAATTTGAGTTTGGTCTAGTTTCTGGCTTGTTGCACAGACAGCACTGTCTCTGCAGAAACATCTTTAATAGGCTGCTATTAAAATGCTCCATCAAACTGAAAAATGTTTTGATTTGATGGGGTGAACCCGAATGCCCCTTCCCAGATTGGTATGTCTCTGGCGGTCTCCGAGTCCTGGCGGAGCACGGTGTTGGCCAGGGTTGCAGAGTGTCGTCTCGCCAGCGTGTGAACATCCCTGCACCCAGTCTTGTAAGGCACAGGAACAGCCCTGAGCCAGTCCTGCTTTCCGGAGGGAGAAACCCTGCCTGGGGGAGGTGGAAGGTGGCCCAGCTGGCCTCCCCCCCGAGCAGGGGGGGTTTGCTCCAAGGAGTTTCCCACGCCAGGTTATCCATTGTTATGGAGACTTCACCTCCGTGGGGACCTAAGCGTTGAACTTTGCCTCCCTGTGCGTGTCTAGTGCTGATCTTTGGTGTCTTTAGCCCCACCCGTGCCCACCAGGCATGGGATGGTTTGTGGGACCCTTCTCTTTAGGCTGTCCCACCCAGTGTCCCTTGTCCCACCCAGTGTCCCTTGTCCCACCCCGTGTCCCTTGTCCCTTGAGCCAGAGCTGGTCTCCAACAGGCAGGGTTCCTGCTCCATCACCTCCTGCTGGGTGTTCCCCCTTCCCGCGTCCTGGCCCCTCTCTGTCTGGTTTAGGAGTGTCTGGGCATTCAGAATATCATGGCCCACCCCAAAAACTGGGGTTTGTGAAGCGGCTTTTCAGGAAGCACTAAGAAACCACATCAACTGCTACCATTGGCCTCACCCTGAGGAGCAGCAACCAGCCCTTTGCTGCCGCCCTGGGTGGGAGCTCAGATACACGCTATCACAGCTCCGAGATGCAAAGCCCTGCAGACAGGGCAGGCTCAGACATGAGAGCCGGGAGGTTCACCCATGGAGGACAAAAAAGGCCATGACTCCAGAGCTCCTATCGCTGCTTTTCCAGCCCCATGGAGATGCCGGTGTGGGCTGAGATTGAAGGAGATGTGTGCCTGGTAGGGGATGGAGAGTTTGGTGCAGATATCTGCCCCAGGCTGGTGGGAGATTCTCAGAGCAGAGAGAGTGGGATTGAAGTCTCTGCTTGGCTCCCTGTCCCCAATTCCTGAGCTCTGTGTTGTGGGTAAAAATGAGATGGGAACCAGAGAAGACATTTTGTGCGGGGGGGTGGAAACTACAGATGGCAAACGTGTGTAAAGCATATGTGCGACGGAGGTTTCTCTCCAGCTACCGCAAGAGATTATTCCCTCTTTTTCCTTTCCAGCCATGTTTCCAGGTCTGTGTCTCCCACTACGACATCTCAGATACAAGCCAGGAAGAAGAGGAGAGGGGTGAGTCTCGTTTGCGTTGATCAAGGTGGCTGTGCTGTGTCTCCCCTGGGGGACATATGTGCCAGGGCTCCCCATGTCATCCCCCGTGTCTGGTGGGGTGATGTTGGCACGTTCTTCCTGCGAGGACACAGTACAAAATCAAGTTCACGCTGTTCCCTGCTCCATCTCCTGCAGAACTCTCCCCACAGCCACCTGGAGATTTTTTGCAGGGGTTTGGCCTCAAATCTTGCAGAAAGAGGTGGGGATAGGGGTGGAGGAGAGCAATTTTACCTGAGGTTATCACACCAGTCTGTTAATGTTTCTTCGCTCAGCTTTTGCTCCCAAAACATTTACGTTCAAAGTGCCTCTCTTGACCTGCCACGGCTGTTAATGAGAGCTTTAAACCCGTGAACTGTGGCTGTAAATGACTGTGATTTCTTCTCTCCGCTTGGAAATCTCCTGCAGATCATCGAGAAGCGGCGTCGTGACCGTATCAATAGCAGCCTCTCCGAACTGCGGCGCCTGGTGCCCACCGCCTTTGAGAAGCAGGTCTGTGTGTCCGGGATTTCCACCCTCCCTCCCATGCGGGCTGCGTTTCAGCAGCGCGAAGGGTAGAGCCCTCAGAATGAGAAAGTCTGGAGCAATGCAATGTCTGTCTCATTGTCATCACTTCAGGGAGTAAGTAGGTGGTGAAACTGGGTGGTAAAACAATATTAACAAACATTCAGGAGTCCTAGGGAGGATAAATTCAATCCAGAAAGTGTTTTGCGGATATGAAGATGCAGAGAAATGGGGATTTTCAATTTGCATTGGGGGATCTTGGAAAGGAGCTCCATTTTGTACTCGCTTGATGTAAAAACCAGAGCCGATGGTCTGAGTGGATGCCCTGCTCCGATCTGAGCACTCCTGGGTTTCATGAAGGCTTTGGGGAGGAGGCCATCAGGAAAAACCCAGCTCCTGAGAGGCACAAAGCCCTAGACCATAAAATGATTAATTGCTCTTTTTTCCTGCTCCCAACAGGGGTCTTCCAAACTGGAGAAGGCAGAAATCCTACAAATGACAGTAGATCACTTAAAAATGCTTCACGCCACTGGAGGAACAGGTAAAAACTGCTCTTCTAAGGACCTGGGTGAGGTGAAGGTGAAAACCTGGAAGGAAACTTCCCCATCAGCTTCAGCAGCAAGCAGTATCTTGGTGCTGCAATGCCTTGCTGACACCAGCCAGCACCAAAATGAATGCTGCCCTGCCTGCTTCCCAAGGGAAATATTTTTCGAGGGAGGGCTGATGGACATTTCCTGCCCTGTTGTTTTTCTTATGTCTAACATATGGGTCAGCATCCCGTGCATACATTTGGCAGACTGGGGTATGTGGGATAGCAGGTCCCCGCGGGGACAGGACCACTGCTGTTGTCACACGCCCTGCTAAAATCTGCCCAGCCGGAGATGCACAGAAACAGAGCCTGCTTCCAGAAAAACTATATTAAACTCTTTACCTCCTCCCTGGGATACATTTCCTGCAAAGGCTGAATTCTGCATGGGGACTCTGCAAATAAACAAGCCTTTTTTCCTTTTCTGTTTTTTCTTTTCTTTTCTTTTTTTTCTTTTTTTTTTTTTTTTTGTGTGTGTGTGTCTCTTGGTTGTTATAAGAAGAGAGAGGGAGCCCTGTGTAAGACTATTTTCAAGATTGCACCCACGCAACTTCCAACAATGAATTATGCATTTCAATAAATGGCTTGCTATCTCCACCATGATTGCTAATGTGGGATCTGGGTCACAAAATTAAGTGTGACCCATTGGGAGTCACTAACTCTGACAAACTCAGCCCTATTGGGGCATTTCTTCATTCAAAAGCCAGCAGATGATTGGGTTCGGGCGGATGTTGCTCTCACTGAAATGAGCAATTCATCCCACACAGGTCTTCATGGAGATGATGAGTCCCTACCTCCTACATCTCAGTGCTGGGAAGGAGTTGGATCCAAGAATGGCTTCAACCCTTTTTTTTTTTTTTTTTTTTTTTTTTTTTTTTTTTTTTTTTTTTTTTTTTTTTTTTTTGTGTGTGTGTGTCTCTTGGTTGTTATAAGAAGAGAGAGGGAGCCCTGTGCAAAATTCAACAAAGGTCTTATTTGTACTGAGACCTCAGTACAGACCCTCTGTCCTGTTCCAGTTAACAGGATGGAGATCACAGCTCCAGTAAAGAAGCCTTTGGCTTGCTCACCACCCATTTTTGGCTTGCTGGGGACATTGCTGGCATCCAGGCTTTGGTTCAGAACTCTAACTTGGTCTGGAACATTTGTTTAGATATTCAGTTTGACTGCACTGCAACAAAGGGCTGTATTGTCACGAGAGACCCCATCGAGCAGAGTGGTCCAGTGCTTCACTGGGCTGTGACATTCTCTGCTTTATTGCTTATCGTCTCACCAAGCTGCAAGTAGGGAGCAGAAGCCTAAAAATCAGCCATCGATTGCATTTTCTCTTGTTGATTTCTGTGGCTTTGAGCTCTCTTGGTCCGGCAGTCTCGATTCTGTGTCCTTCAGCCAGACATCTGTTAAAATTAAATATAAAGATTGGGATCCAGGCAGAGGAAAAGCTGTGTGTCGAGGAGACACAGTGTCCCCTTCTTGTGCAAGACTGGGGATGGTCCCTTTGCGAAGAGGGACCCAGTGCCCATCTAGCCCACAGTCATGTCTCCAGCAGCAATAAAGAGTGCAATAGGAAAAAATTCTTCCTTCCTGAGCACGGTTAATGAAACCTCTTGCTCATCTCACATGCTGGAGTAAGAGGCTTCATGACCCCGGCAGTTTTAGCCCGATGAGATAACCGCAGATGCTATTCTCATGCACGCAAATGCCCAGTCCTTTCGGACACCCACTTGGCTATCTGCTTCAGTAATATCACATGGCAGCAAAGTGCCTCAAGTGAAATACACAGTGCATTAGAGAGGGTAGTGAAATCAAAGCACATTCCTGAGCTCTGCAGGGACTTACTGTCACCCCTGTCCTCTCCCTACAGGCTTCTTAGATGCTCGAGCTCTGGCCGTGGATTACAGGAGTATTGGCTTCCGCGAATGTCTCACTGAAGTTGTCAGGTACCTGGGCATCCTCGAGGGCCAAAACGCCGCTGACCCCATCCGGCTTCGACTCCTCTCCCACCTGAATAATTACGTGGCCGAAATGGAGCCTTCGCCTGTGGCCACTTCCCTCCTGCCCATCCAGACGTGGCCATGGTCCTTCCTCCACAGTGCCGCTGGCCCCGTGCAGATCCCCAGGAGGGAGGCTGCTCCTGCTCCAGTTGTTTTGACTGCATCTTCCCTGGCTTACCCGAGCCCCGCTGTGAGGCCAGCCCCGCTTCGCCGCGTCCCCAGCGACATGCTGCCATCCCGCCGCAGCTTTCTGGCCAGCAGGATGGCCTCTTCCAGCCGGAGGGCCCGAGGCACGGGCTCGTCTGCAGCCGTAGCGGCTGTGCCCAGGATGCCATCTCCAGCAGGCGTCTTGAGAGAGGGCTCGTCCAAGAGCAGCCAAATCGCCACGTTCCTCTTCTCACCAGCCTCCACGGGCATCCCCGTTCCACCGGCTTACACAACGCCTCCCGCCTTGGGTGCTGCCACACAGGGACCCGGGATCAGGGTTGGGACATCCAGGATCTGCCGCTCCTGGGCGACTGAAATTGGGGCTTTCTGACCCTCCCTGCCCCTTTGGAGACAGGAATTCTTCAGCACTCATTAGGCTCCCAGGCCTAAGAACAAACTCAGCTGAAAAGGCCTGTTTCCTGCTTTGCAGAAGCCAAGGCTCCATAAAGAAAATTCCCTTTGCTCTTCCCTCCTCGCACCGCCTTCCTTGCCTCACCAACACACGTCCTCTCCCTCGTGATGCCTGCAAACGTAAATCACATCCAATTCGATGCACTTGCCTGCACGGGGCTGTACTCCAGAGCCTTCCGGCGACGAGGGAGGGGGGCACATGCGGATCCCACCCCCGTCCCTCCTGCAGCAAACCCCTCTGTGGACCCAGTGTTGCTCTCCTTTGGAAAACAGCCAGCCTTGAAATAGTATCTTATTTCCCTGGGGACTCAGAGCTGCCAGACAGAGACTTGCTCATGCTCACTCCCCGCAATGTTTCTCCCCCCAAGCTACCGCACCTAATTTTGGTGTGGTGGGAGGGATGCAGTGCCCCCCCTCCCCAGCACTGTTGGCACCCCACGAGGTAGGCTAGAGCCCCCCCCAGCTCCCTTAGCGAACTGGCTGCCTGCTAATCCCCCTGCTTTCCTCGCTGCATTACCAGCTTTTCCCACTTATGTGCCCTTAAGGTGGAGTGAGGCAACAGCTTAACAGAGCCTGTTCCCACAGCCGAGCTGAAACGCCGCCGTGTCTGTGCCGGGTCCCTGCAGGAACCACGCAGGAGCAGCCGGCCAGGCCGCCCGGGCAGAGGGAGGCTTCTGCAGCCCTTGCTCCACACCGAGGTGTGAAGAGATGAGGTGAGACAGAGGATTTCAAAGGGACGTCTGTCAGGGAGGGGAAGGCTCTGACGGCCAAAGTGAGAAGAAAAGGAAAGAGCCTTTCCCTCTGCCAGTCTCCCTGCTGGAGCCGTCTCTCCTCCATCCCCTGTTGAACAGCCATGACTCAAGGAGCAGGGGTGAATGGGGCAGACCAGCCTGCATTTGAAGTGCCTCCCTGGTTCTCTCTCAGCCCTGCGTCCCTCACCCTCTCCTCCCACTTTCTTCAGTGCCATGTTTTGGTCTCACCAATTGCTCATCCCTCTCTCTGGGCCAGGACCAAAACCCACTGAGGTTTCACCACAGACCTCAGCAAGCTCTGGGTCTGCACTTATCCCAATTTCCTGAGAGCTTTTTCTGCCTTGGCCTGCGTGCAGATACCTAGCAGATATGCCTCTGCTCTTCTAGCTGCCCTCCCCTGCTCTCCTCTTTGGGCACAAAGGAACAGACACTTGAAGCTCTCAAGCCACCCTCCCGTGCCATGTCCCTAATGCCCATGGTGGCCAGGGCAGGGTCTCCCAGTGCTCCCCCCATCTGAACAGCCCCCGCTCCCTGCATCTGTGCCTTGACTTGCTGGGATTCATGTGCAGAATAGCCTGGACCCAGTTGTATGCCCACCCCAAGGAGACTCGCCCACTTCTACAGCACTGCAACAGGAAAAGAGAGAAAAGCGTGGAAAGGTTGGGGCAAAGAAAGTTAAAAAAGAGGGAGAAGATCTCTCTTGAATGGGAGAGGCTCTCCCCGTGCCTCCAGTCAGATGCGCTGCCAGTGAGACTGTGTGGATGAGCTGGTGTTTGCCCTCCTACAGATGGTATCTGCCATGTGCACATCAGTGTATGTACCTGCTATTGGTCTGAAAGTTGGTCCCTCCCAGTTGTTTTGATGGAAGTCGTCGCGCTTAACACACAGAAATGCCTCTGCTATTTCTCCTCACCCTTGTCCTGAAGTGCCGGGATCAGCCAGGAATGACATATTGCCTTTTATTAAGGCCAGAGGAGGTCCTCGCAGACCCTGGTTGTTCCTGCGGCTGGTTGGCACACTAGAGCTCACGGCAAGTAGCCCAGCGTCACTTTACACTGTGCAGAGCTGTTAGATTCACGAGCTGTGACATCCAGCAAAGGTGTCAAATAAAGTCTTTCAAACCCCTGTCCTGCCCTGCGTTGATGTGAATCTATCTCTTCTGCTAATCCAGCCTGCCTTTGGGTGACTGCTAGTTTTGCAACAGGCAGGTTTTTGTTCCTGAAAAGCTTTAAAAAAGGTAAGATGTTTGTTAAGTTAACATCCCTGCTGGTCCTTTTATAGCTGCTGCTGTTGGTAAGGCTGGTCCCATGACTTTTTACTTTGCAAACCCCTCTGTGGGTCAAAATCAGCCGGATAGACGGCACTGCTTGCCCTGAGATTGGCAATAATCCGTGGCTTGAGAACAAATCATTTCATTTAGCTACCAGTGTCCACAAAAATGTCAGGGAATGAATCGGGTCCCGCAGAGCCTTGCAGCCAGACACCGAGGGCTTGCCTCGGTCTCCTGACCCTTTGCAAGCAGGACCAGAATAACCCCTGCTGCTTCTTGCTGTCGGGAAAGGCTTTGGACAAAACAAAGAGCCACAACTGAGAGCTTGCCTCTGTTCTGAGGAAAGGACCAGTAAATGATCCTTCTCGTGAAAGACGCTGGGAGAATTTTCTGGGGAATGGTGGGAATTTGACTTCCTTTCCCATAACGCCTTCTCACTCCAAAATGCCTTTCAAAACCGCCCATAAATCCCTGCCTTAAGTGCTGTGTTGGGAATTGCTGGAAGGGAGCAACTGCAGCTGTGATGGAGTAACGCAGCATCCGTCTGGAAGCAGAGAGAAAACTTCAAGAGCAATAATAGGGCTATTGATGGCAGGTCGTCCCGCTGGTGCCTGGGCTGCCCCGACCCGGCTGGAGGCTGCGGTGGGAGCTCAATGCTCTGGTGTGGCCTCGGCAGGCATACAAACCAGCCCCGCGGGCTACAGTGGTAAAACAAAACAGAGACAGTGGGGAAAAAAAAAACAAACTCACCAACAAAAAAACAACCAACAACCCCATTTCCTGATCTCTGCTGATCAAATGGGAGCCGGGGTGGGTGGGAGAGGCTGCGGTGGGAGCTCAATGCGCTGGTGTGGCCTCGGCAGGCATACAAACCAGCCCCGCGGGCTACAGTGGTAAAACAAAACCGAGACAGTGGGGAAAAAAAAAACAAACTCACCAACAAAAAAACAACCAACAACCCCATTTCCTGATCTCTGCTGATCAAATGGGAGTCGGGGTGGGTGGGAGGGCATCGGTTCAAGCCCGTGGGGTTTTTTTCCCCATGGCAACATGGTGATTAGAGCAGTAAGCCGGGACTGGAGCTTCGTTTCTTTCCCCAGGGTTTTCTTTAGCCTAAATGTCTTCCCTAATGCATCCTGTCAACTTTTGATCTACCCTGTAGGGGAAACCCCTGAACTCTCTGCGCACTCTCCCCATCCTCCTTCTTCAGACAATGAAACCATAATGAATGGAGGCCTCCGGGAACGCGTGGGCTGCATTGGGCGCAGTCCGGTGGGGGTTGCTCAGTGGCAAACATCAGTGTAAAACACTCCTCCAGCTCCGGCAGTGGTGAGGCTGGAATGAAATGGGGTCCTGATGAACAAGCCTTCGCCTGCTGCTACGAGGCAGCTTCCAGGCTGCAGGAGATTTGCTGTGCTCCTGATCTCCCAAAGCTCTACCAAGCTATAGCAGCGAGCAAGTCCTCCTCTCCCAAATTCCCCTGCCTGAAAAATGTTGCTCATCCCCAGTTGTGCGATCGCTTGCCCGGGGTGAAACGCTCTCTCCACTGTGCCTCTGTGTTTTCCTGCCGGTGGTGCAATCCCTGCCTGCCCTCTGCTGGTAAATTACCAGAGCTGAGGAGGAGAAATCCTAAAGCAGGGTGAGCATTTGGTGGAAAAGTTGCCATCCATGTTGAAAAATGGATGAGCTTTTACAATGACCGTTAGCGACTGGTGTTGGGGTATATGGTGTAGGAGAGAACTTTGCAGAGTAGGGTTGCTGGTTGGACTCGATGATCCCAAGGGTCTTTTCCAACCTGAATGATTCTATGATTCTATCACTCAGACACACAGTAGCAGAGCATCTTGGGAGGCCTCAGGGTGATGGGTCTCACACCAGCATCATTGATGGGGACAGACTGGTGAGATGAAGACATTAAAAGATGTAACCTTTGCTCTAGGCGCTGCTGAAGGTCCTGAGAGGGCCAACTGGGTGGATCTTGGGCATTGTTGGTCGCCAGGAGCAGATGCACTTGTGTATTGAAGGTACCAAAGCGTCCCTGGGGCAGTTTTGGGCCTCCGTGGGCAGAGGCTACCCCTGGCCCATCCGTTCACATCAGGAGTGAAAAAGACTGAGGAGGACACTCATGCTGTCTGCATGGTGTCCCCTGGGAAGGGACAAAAATGTCGATAAATATGCTTCAAATAAAAGCCGTTCCCAGCGTAGCCACAGCGGCTGCTTGCAGCCAAAGGGTGTTTTATGTGGAAATGTGTCTTTCAAGCTCAGCCGTGTTTTGACTTGAGATGTCGGAGTGGGAGCCAAAATGACCTGGGCTGAAAATATTGCAAAAGATTACAATTTACTTTGCTATTGCTACCTTTTATTCTGCTACTACCAATTATTCCACTGTAATGAAGGGATAGGTATCGTAGGAATCCCCTTTTAATGATAACATCATATTCCACTTTTAAAGCAAATTAAAGGCGATATAATGTAGAATCGAAAAGTCACAGCAGAGCAGCTACCAGCCTCTTTAGACTTAGTCCCCCTTAACAGGACATCCATGGTGCCTGAGGGTCATTGATGAATCACCAAATCCCGTGCTGCTGTGTCCTCACGCTCTGCTGAAGACACTAGAAATAGATAATTACGGGTCTCCCCGGAGCTGAATTTCCTAAGCATGAAGCTGTGGGATGGCGGAGGTGGGGCTGAATCCCTCTCTCGTTCCAGCGACTTTCTCCTGCATTTGGAGTCGCCCTGGGAAAAGGGACTGACAGGTGGCTTCCACGGGGAGACGCGGAGGAGTGCTGGTGCTGCTGTGGGAACTCCCACTTATTTTAGGGAAAATCATGCTCTGAGGCGTAGGAGGCAGATCGCTGTGGGAACAGCTCCAGCAATGGCTGCTCCTCATCTCACCGCCAGCAACACCTCCAAAACCACGGCTTGGGGCAGTGAGAAAAATCATCCCAGATGAATTATTTGCTCTCCCAGTGAATTCTTCTGCTTGTCTACATCCTTGCCCCGTTCCCAGCCCCATGGCCCCGCTCTCTCTGGGAGGCTCCTCTGGGCCCCTTGTGTTTCATGATGGGACTGAGCAGCCCTGTGAGAGGATGGGATGGGATGGGATGGGATGGGATGAGGCAAGGCGGGGATGGGATGGGATGGGATGAGGCGGGATGGGATGGGAAACAACCCCAAAACCATCCTTCTGGGAGGTGTTGCTGTGGGTGTCTGTCCCTGCCAGCTGCCCACAGAGGATCATTTTGCCCTAAATCTCGAAATCCGACCTGCCATCCTTGTGCAGGGACAAGACTTTGGTGTTGCTAGAACCGCTGTGGCATTGGTGTATGGACGGAGCTGTGAGAGAGCACGGCTCATCTCCAAACGCCACCTGGGTGCCATTTTGCATGGTGGCCACATACATTGGTAGGGTTAAGAAGTTGTCGTGCTTATTTACTGTGTGGGTGTCCAGCTTGACGGGAGGTGGACAACGCTGAGAGGTGAGGGCTGGATGTCGTTGGGCAGCCTGAGGAAAACCAGGTCTTGCTGAGGAGCCTAAACCTGAAGGGAAGCACCTGGTCGTGTGGCTTATGTTCATCATGAGGGGCCAGAACCACCCTGAGGGGACTTAGGACTCCTGACGCTGGGAGCAGTTCAGAGGGAAATGGAGGCCCAGCTTGTCCTCGGGGATGTAAGGAAGCTGGAGCCACGGCGATAGCAGGGAAATCCTGAGGGGCCGTAGGCCGCCATGTCCCCGCTGAGGGTCGCCGCCT